CCCCAAAACCCCAAAACCCCATAGCTCCTAATTTTTGATTATACAAGATAGATAAATTATATATTAAAAGTTCTATTAATTAGATGATTAAACTTATAGACTTATAATCTATACATAAAAATAGTTATTAAATAATGTAAATCTAAGAAAATACATTTCAAAGAGCTTATCTTTAAGATTCAATCAACTTAAGATTAAGAAGCTTCAAAATATAAACATTCGTATAGTTGTAACTTTACTTTTAATTTAGCAATTTATATATAATAGTGTACTCTTGTTTTTCCAATTTTCCAATGTCAAAACATAAGAGTGCTTCAAAAGTTATCAAACCGGTAACAATGCCCACTTAAATTTTATACTTGGAAATGCTATGACTGATTATGCAGAAATCACAGCTTTTGATATAGTTGGTAATGTAATGATAGTCTCTTTCCAAGACAGACTATAAGGCTCTAAAGGTGAAGATGAAGTACATATCATGTCTTATGATCTTTCACAGAAAAAGACGTTGTGGCTATTTAATAAGAAAGATGATAAGAATATCACGTTATCAGTTAAGATTAGATAGTAGGAAAGTTTAATTATAGCACTAGCCCTCAATAAAAAGATACTTTACATAGATTTATTATCAGGCAATTTGAGAGCTGAGTTTGACATAAATTACTAATATACTGAACCATTTTTAATTGTGTATGATATTTATGGTAAAGCATATATTGGCTTAAATGGCTAGGTAAATTTATGATCTTTTTTAAACATTATTGATTTTTAATTCTCTTAGCTTCAAATCTAGGAGACTTTGGTGTAAAATTTGAGAGGTTATTATGGCAACTACCTATAGAGTATGTGTATAAGTGATGATGATAAATATATCTATTTGAGTATTTACACTAGCATTACAGTAAATAATTAAGTTTAAACTTATCGAATTGGAATAGTTAGAATAAGCACAATAGATTCTTCAAATCATTAAATTTATTATCAATCAGCTTTTATCCCAGGCTAAAATTCAAATCCCACAATTTTATTGTACTCTTTGAGTGCTGGCTCTGATTATTGTGTTGGCTTAATGGCGTATGAGCATTTTTCTAACGAAAGAATTATTGGTCTTTCAGTTTTAAATATTACAACAGGTAATTTTAGACTTCATTATTAGACATCCTTTGAATACATATATATCAAAATATTCTCATCTATAGTAACAAGGAACTCAACTGCAAGATTTTTTGTTAAAGTTTAACCAACTAATGATGCTGTATTCTTTCAATATATTGTAACAGTAGAAGATATCAAAAGCCCAGATAAAATGATATTCTAAGTATTGCAAGATTATCCATATAAAAACACATAGTTCTTTTCAGCGCTGAATAAAACAAACAAGCGATTTTATATGCATGGACTTGTCTATTAAGAAACTGGCTAATATCCTTAGGCATTTATCAATGAGTATTAAGATGATCCTTTTTGTAATTATTAGCAACCAATTGGCTAAAGTTGAAACATTAGCCTTGATAAGTATTTAAATTTAGATCTTAAAACAGAAAGCAATGATTACTATAAACTTAATATAGTTCATCTCGATTAGGTGAATTCATCAATAACTCTATCCTTTTAGAAATCTAACTTTGAAAGTGTTTATAACAACAAAAAACCATGCTAACTCAAACAATAAAGTGACGGAATAGGCTTATTTATTTAAACACCACCATCTATAAAATAACCAGTGATTTGTTTTACAGGCATAAATTGTTCGACATTTATTGGAGAATATTAACTTAAAATGCAATGCAGCAATTTAGACACCAATTTATATATGAATTTATTTAACTAAGCGAAGAATATTTTGTGGTTTTATGAGTATAAGTATTACTTAGTCTAAAGCTAAAACACTGTTCTCAACATTACCTTCGATGAATCGTATTAGCATGAATAATTGAAGAATGGTACAAATCACACTTTCTAAAACATTGTGTCGTTAAAATCTTAAAGTGACTTGATTATCAGTACTAGCCTCAATTTAAATTTACAAGTTTTCTATCCTTGTGAAATAGCGAATGTAACTAACAGCACTGTTCAGAATATATACCTATAAAGAAATAAAGGATTCGTAGAAGCTTAGATATATTTATTCTAGTTCATATATGATAATAATTGCTTCGACTACGAAATAATAAGTGTCCATTAAGATGGAAAACAAGTTTAAGAAATTGAATAAACAGAATTTAAATTATGGGCTAAGATACAAAATCCAAAGAAAAATATGATATCTATAGATACATCTCAAAAACTGCCAGGCCTCAGATACATAATAAAAATAAGAGTTAGTAACAATGACAGAAGATCTCAAAAAGTATTATCATCAGCAGAGTAATATCTTAATCTCTTTTTCGATCCAAGCAGAGAAATCGATGCTCCACCTTATTTTGTACAGTTTATTCCAAAAGTTATTACAGCTCCTGGAGAAGTAACATCTTTCAGTCTTTCATCTATAAGAGATAACTTATTTGACGACTACATACTAATAGTAGACTTTGGTGTATCTGCTCTGTTTGCTAGTCTCAAAGATGGTGAAATTAAAATAGCACCTTAGGAAGAGAATAGTGGTCAAACTTATAGGGTTAAATTTACTCTAAAGTAGCATTTGAAGAAGCCGTATATTTAGAATATATACTTTCTAGAAATTGCAGTTAAAGGTGCTTTACGAGAGAATAATTTAACTGAAAATTAAACTGGAAAATTAATTTCAACTACCAATTTTGCCAAAATTGTAAACATTAATGCCACAGGTTTTGTAACAATAAAATTTAGTTATCCGTTAAACAAGCCCAAAGATTTATCTGCAATTAACAATAATAGAATAAGAATAGAATTGCACTATGAGGTTCAGGGAATTAATGAACTTATTGATTACAGTCTGCTTGATGTTAGCAGAGATAAAATGCTCATTAGACTATATTTCAAGAATATATCAGACATTTCAAAATTTTAGGTAAGATTCAAATTATTTGATAAACCTTAATTAAATTTAGGATTAAGATACTTTATCAGTGAAATTCATGGATATGGCTTTGTTTTACAATAGATATACTAATAGATTTACACCAAATTATATAATGACTAAAGGAGTTCCTAGCCAAATATCTGAGGGTAAATATATCAATTCAATAAAAATATTAAGATCTTGCTATGTTACTTTCTCAATATGGTTATGGCTTCAAGATAACTTCAAATACTATTTTTGGAGCAAATCTCATTGCAACTCTTTTAATGTAAAAATAATTCATATTACATACTTCTTAATATAGCTCTCATACTTTACAACATCTTTGGAGCGCAATAAACTCTTTTTAAATTCTATCTCATTTGCCGATGATTGGGATTAATGCTCCAGCAAACGTTTAAATATTTTTCTCGTATGTCCTGAATCTAGCCACCTTCAATATATTTCCAACAGATGAGTATTACAAGCAATTTCTATAAATTACAGAGGAGAATGATTACCCAATTAATGATTATTTTTCTTGTTATGGATATCAGTCAATGAACATAATAATAAACCTTGGAACAATATCCATCTTCATTGCAATCAATGTTTCTTTAATAATTGCTGTGCTTCTCTTAAAGATGGTTTAAAAAGTGAATGCCAAGTAATATTCCTTCATAAAATTAATCAAGTTTTAGGTTTTAAAGATTTTAAAAATGGGTTGTAAATTAACTATATATGAACTATTACATAAGATTCTTTATCGAGACCTATTTAGAGCTATCATTATGTGCTCTGATTAATTTTCAATTAGTAATTTCAATCAAAGTTTAAACAAACTTTAGGACTAAAAATTCTCGACATCATTTGGATAAAGAATTGGTATGGTGTTATCAACCCTTACTTTGATAATTATTTTCCTCTTTCCTATGTTAATATTACTGCTTATGGTAACTAATCATAATCTTCTAGAAAACCCAGAGAACATTAAAAAATATGGTTCTCTTTATGAATTGTACAGACCTTAAAGGCTTTCAAGTACACTTTTCGTGTTTAATTTCATATTGAGGCGTTTCTTATTCACTGTAGTATTAGTGATGCTAAGATAATATCCTTCTTTTCAGATCTTTATTCTTATGTTAAGTTCGCTTTTTACTATTTGTTATTTGCTGAACTATATGCCATTTAAAACTAAACTAGATAATTTTATTGAGATTATGAATGAAATATCTATTTTATTGAGCTTCTATGTGCTCATGTGTTACACCGACTTGTTGAATGGTTCTTCTTAAACTAAGTTAAATTTAGGTTGGATTCTGGTTTATTTAACTTGTGGGAGTTTTGGTATAAATATGCTTATTATAATCATTATAACTATCAAGACTTAGATGTATTTTCTCAATCTTTGGCTAAATAAAATTAAGCGAAAAATTAAATCAAAGATTTAAATCTTCTAAATGATAGGGATAATACCAAAAAAATCTTATGAAAATAGCTTACGCGATAACTCAAATATTGTAAATTTTAACTAAAACTATAAAACTTAGAGTTGTAAATCTTTGAATGATTCAGGCATATTTATAAACTCAGATTTTGACAATTCACTTAGATCTTCAAATAATTACTTCTCAAACTATAAGGGACTAAATTCTTTAAAAAGTAGATACGATCTTGAGCATGAGGTAACAGCTTATAGTAATGAGAATTTCAATTAAGATATAAAACCAAACGAGATCCCAGGAAATTCTAAGCTGAGTAAATTAAGATTTGAGATTATTGAGACTTATAATGAAGATGTTGATATTAGAAATCATTCAAAAGAAGTGAAAATTAAGAATATCAAACTTAAATAAAGACTTGCTTATAACTTTTGAATAAAGTAGCTTTTTTTACTGAAAATTTATTTTTAAATTCATTGATTTTTAATGACAATTTGTGAAGTGCTTCTTGGGGTTTTGGTGTTTTGGGGTTTTGGGGTTTTGGGG